GATAGATAGATAGATAGATAGATAGATAGATAGATATAGTTCCCTCCCTAACAGAGCTGCAAACAGCTGGGGGAAGCCATGTGCCTGGAATTCCATCAGGATCTCCCACAAGGGTGGGTGGCAGAAACCCAAACCCTGGGGGCTGTCATTCATCGCCCTCCAAGGCACTTTATAAGGGAGCTGGGTCAGAAGTTGAGCAGCTGGCATTTGAACCAGCACTCCCATATGGGTGCTGATGTTCTCAGTAGTAGCTTAACCCACTGCATCACAAAGTGTAGTGTATTCTTGGGGTAAGGTATGTGTGTGTGTGTGACTGAGAGACAGAGACACAGAGAGAGAAATATGAGGTAAAAAGACTCTTATGTATGGGGACCCAGGAAGTTTTGCTGAGACACCTCAAGTGAGTGAGCAGAGCATGAGAGACTTCTTTTGGCTCCAAGGAACTGCTAATGGAAAGATTTCCCAAGAGTCTTATCTAACACTAGGACATGGCTGTGTGTCAGTGGGACACCTACACTTAGCGTGCACAGCCTCACACACCATCAGAGACTACACTGGCATTGGAGGGTTTCTGCTCTACCAAAGGCAGGGTTCTAGTGTGCTGTAGGCCAGTTGCGTGGTTGCTGTGGCCAGGAGTATTGTTGTACTTCCATCAGCAGTGACACTGTTGGGAAGGTGTGCTAGCTCACTGCTTGTGCTGTCCCAGGAGGAGGCACCGGCCTGTGAGACTAGGAACTGTGACTTCAGCATTTGGGCGACCCAGTAGTGCTGGGGACAGTCAGCAGTGTGGGTTGCACCTTGTGCGATGTGGCTGTGGTGTGAGGATTCAGTGGACTGCTGGAACTCCCAAAGTGGAAGCCTTGGAGCACTGCACCACGTATGTGCATATGCATCGAAAAGGGCTTTAAATACTCATATTTGGGATATCACTGGAACGACGGATAAAGAATAGGAAGAATAAGATGCGATGAATGACTCAGGTAACTTAATGCTCTGAGCGATTTTTAAAGCTAGGATACTGTATTCTTTTATTCTAAATAATTTTTATGTTTGTAACAAACACAAATTGTATAGGCTTTATTTTATATAACAATTATGTGCTTTACTTTGTTTCCCAACTCTTGGCTGTCCAATCCCTTTTAAGTGCTGGTGTCAAGATCTAGGGTCCCTCCCTCTGCATCCAGCTACAAGGGGTTTTTGAACCACTGTTGTCGCAGTCTTCATTCTCTTGGCCTCGGGACTGCCTCCCTCTTGTTCATTTTTCTCCCAGTCTGTGCTAGAAGGCACACCTTCTGTGACACTCTGGCCCCTCCGCTCAGCCTCTTCCTCCTCTGTGATCCCATGGCTCCTGGCTGTTTGTGACACTGTATTACATTCCATCTTGTGTTCGTATAATTTGCATGTGCAGCTCATTTCCATGGCTTATGCATAAACCTCCTACACACTGAGGCTTGGCCTGCTATGACTACTTTTTCCCAGCAGGAAAGTCTCCATCAGGGGAAATATTTGTTCAATAAGAGCATGAATAAGAACCGGCTTAAGGAACATTTCTATTTTTCTTCTCTTTAGCACTGTCTTGGAGAGAACTAGGTGAGGTGTTTTGGGGTGAACCAGCAGGGAGAAGTGGGTGAGTGCCCATATTTATAGGTGACTAATGCTTTCCAGAGGAAATGAAAGATTTTCAGTCATGACTAGTTTGCAAAGCTTTATTTTCCCACTTGGGGGCCTGCCCTCCAGTTCTGCAAGCTGAAAACGAACAGAAAGCAAACACCACAGGTGAGGCTCACCCCACAGCCTTGGCGGCGATTTTTAGGCCATTGCAACATGAGGCAGGCAACAAAATGCTTCCCCTGATCAGAGTTCCAACTGTTCAGCTGACTTGTGTGTGTTTGTCATGTTCCCTTTGACCAGGCTCTGCTATTTCCCCATCTGACCATCCAAACTGGCACACCTAACAGCTGACCCACAGCCATTTCCCCAAAACATTTCCATGAATATCCACAGTTTGTGGAACTTACTCACGGCCGTCTGTGGCTGTGAGGGCCCTTGGACCTCCACACATCGTATAACAGTAGAGATCCAAGCAGCCAAGAACCAGAGGTTGTCTAACCAGGTTAGAGACAGAGAGAAGGAAGCTTCCTCCAGTGGAGCAACCCTCATCCAAGCATGACTATTCTGGCAAAAATGTGGCTTAGTGGACCCAATCCTTATTTATGAGAGCAAGGACAAAATCCTTGTGCCTCAACTCTCTGGGCAAGGTCCTCCCGATGTCAGCTCTCTGCTCCTCCTCTCTGCGGGCTCCGCTGCCACGGCCATCATGTCTGACCCAAGTACCAAGCCGAGGACAAGGATGCTGCAGCAGATTTTAGAGCACAGACTCGGTCAAGCTGTTTTTGCCTCCGCATGCAGCCTGGACTTGGCAGAGCGGTTTTACATGTACTAAGAGTTGAACAAACACCTGGTCAGGTGAGTCAGTGGAAAGAAAACGAGCTGGGAACAGAAGATCTGCATTTAAATTGGTTTAAGCCCCAGCTTACTCTCTCCACTCCTGTCCCCCACCATATGACTTTGGGCTCAATGGCTACTTGGAACCAGCATCCACACGTGTCACCAAGCTCTTTTTGTTCCTGTTTGGTTTATACTTCTGCCAAAATTACCCTCCAACCGACCTTCATTAAAAGCTGCATCATTTACGCTGCTTACAGTTCTTCTGTAGAACAGCATTTGGTTTAAGAGACCAGCTCACTACTGTTGATTCATGGGCTGATTCTGCTTTATCATCCTCAGCAGGCCTGCACTCAGCTCTTCTGGCCCTTGGCTGTTACTCTCTTCTATGCATAAAGTCCTTTTCCCCCTCTGCTCTGCCATATGCCTTCTCCTCACTCTTTGGACCTCATCTTAGACAAGTTTTCCCTTGAAGAAGCCAGGCCTGAGCAGTCTTCCATGTACTCAGAGCACCCTGGCTCTCTCCACTGCAGTCTCAGCATCCTGTATCCCCATCTCTTCCCAGTTTTCTTTCCCACACAGTTCCTAAGGGCTGTGCACATCATTGTGCCCTCAGCATCTTAGCACAGGGCCAGCAATGAGGAACAACTGGGTGGATGTAGCATGCCCTGAACCCATCCCCCACCACCTTATTCCTCCCTTCTTCAAACTCCCAATTTCTCACATCAGTGGAACACACGTGCGCACACACACACACACACACACACACACACACGTTGTCAATCAAGTCCTCAGGTAGAACAAGGCTCTACATCAAAGATTCTGGCTTATATATGATCTCCCTAAATCACACTTAACAAAGAACTATAAACTAGAGTCCACCAATGACAGAGCACACAAATTCATGTGTATAATTAGCCAGCTCTCATCCTGCTCATCTTTTTTGAAAAATAATGATTCTTATTTGTTGGAAAGGCAGAGAGAGAGAGAGAGAGAATCCCCCATTCACAGTTCACTCACAAAGCTAGGAGCCAGTAATTCAATCTAGATCTCCAACCTGGATGACAAGGACCCCACATGCGCCAATCACCTGCATCCCATGACGTGTGTTAACAGGACGTTGGAATCAGGAGCCGAGCCTGGACTCCGCATGCGCATCCTAAACAGCATCTTCATCTGTACATAACCCCTCCACCACCTTAATACTCTTCAACACAACTCAGAGAGGGATACTTCAGTGTGCATATACTCTTAGCCCAACCCAGGGCCAGGCACTCCATGTTTAGGGAAGATACTTTTGGACAAGCTAGTAATGACACACCATGGCTTGCATTCAGCCAATGAGCATTCTTGTACTATTGAAAAACACTGCTTAGCAATCAGGCTTTTTTTTTTTTTTCCTGCTAAAGCCTCAGAATTGGGGCCAGCATCCTGGGACAGTTGAGTCAAGCCTCTGCCTGTGGCACTGACACCGCATACGGATGTTGGCTCTTATCACAGCGGTCCCACATACAATTCAGCTCCCAGACAATGGCCTGGGAAAAGTAGTAGAAGATAGCCCAAGTGTTTTTAGACCCTGCCACTCACATGGGAGACCCAGATGAAGCTCCTGGCTCCTGGCTTCAGCCTGACCCAGTGTTGGCCATTGCAGCCATCTGCAAAGTGGAAGAACCAGTGGAAGAAAAAAAAAAATCTTTCTGCTTCTCTTTATGTAAATTGTGTAAATTTTTCTTTGTGTAAATTTGACTTTCCAAATGAAAACAAAAAGCCTTAATTCAGTGCTGACGTGGATCTAGAGAAAGAACATCAAACGGCCTTCATTCTGCAGGCCTTGTGCTTGGCCTGCTCCTTCCAGCAGAAACAAAAGCCTGGTGCTGGAGGAGGAGGCCAGAGTGTGCCAGAGTGTGCCAAGGGGCTTTCACAGCCCCTTGGAGGAAGGTCAAATACATACAATCCCTTGATGGCTGACCATGCCGTGGCATTCCTGAGAATCAACTTAACTGAGTGGTTGAAAGGTGAAATCTAGGCCAGCCCCTGAAATCATCTCCCATGCCTCTGGCTAGGCTGTGCTGCATACCTCTAGGCAATTGTCCAAATGCCCAGGAGTCCTGATGCCAGATGTTGATGCAAATAAGCCCCATAACGAAGCAGGCAACAGGAGTGGACCCACTTAGCGTGTTTCCCCTGTGGAATGCTTTTTTAGGTGGAATAGATTGAGATGCCTTAGATCATCCAGCCATTCAAGCATTGTAGCTGCAAATGGACTCACAGATCAACGTGTTCCTGGGGAAGCAACCATGTGGCTTTGCAGTGATGACTTCCAGAGAAGTTGTGATGTGGTCTATGAGTGTGCCCATCTGTATGTTCCTACGGATGCAAGCTCTCCATGAGCATTCAAACTAAACAATAAGAAAGCCTTCTTCCTTGGAGGGGTAAAGGTGGTTAAATCCCCACAAAGCCCAGATAAAGGGACTCTTCTGAGAAGTTTTTTTTCTGGACTATTGCTCAAGGTCCTGAATGACAAGTTTCTGGGGCTTTCTCCAGGCGATTCTTACCTGCCGATGTAGGCAAGGCCAGCAGCAGCCAGCAGGGTGAGTCCCGTTTTCCTCGATGGGTAGTGATATGGTCTGAGGATGATCTCACCCAGTGAGAAGGGCAATATGGTAGTGTGCTGCCAGAGAAAGGATACAACTTAGTGAGGGCAGGTGCCAGCTTGCCTGCAGTACCCGCAGCCCTCACTTCCCTCCCCGCTCTCTAACACGCTGCAACGTACACGTTTTTCATAACTTGGCTGAGATCCTGTTTCTTGGAAACCAAAAGACCTACTGTGATGTCAGTCACCTGTCATAATGGTTCAGATTCCTTGGGTTGCCTGCCAAGATTCTTTGTACAACATGGTCACACTCTCTGGTCCTGCTTTGGACCCACAACCACGATCTCCTAACACACATACACTTGTACCTATGTACATACAACACACAGTCTACACACACACACACACACCCCTTTTGCACTCATGCACAACAGCTCACATACAGGTACCTGCAAATGTGTATGTACACTGTCATAGTCACACACATGTAAATTCACACATGGGCAACCATGCTAATTCATACACACTGCCCACCATCACACCGTGACACACACACACACACACTCCACTAGAAGAGAGCCATGCTCTTCAGTCTTGCTGTTGCTCAGTCTGCCACCCCCATCTTGTCTTCCAGGGGGCTGTGCCTCGTCACTTCTTCCTATTCAGATCCTTTCTATGCTTTGCAATCGAGGCAACCTTCTAGGAGCCTGTCTCTGAATTTTGTCCCGTCAGTTTCTCTCCCGCAGTTCTACTTCCTGTCTGTGCAGTGCTGTGCAGTCTGGCACACAGCACGCCATTCACAAGCTGTGTGTTGTTGCACGGCGCATCTGACCCATGCCTGTCTTCCGTGCTCAGTGCGCGCTCTGGGTGGGGCCCTGCAGAGGTGGAGGTGTTGTGGGATGGGTGTGAGCTCTTTCTGCTCCCCTCCATGTCCACCCCCTCCCCGGCATCACCCCCTCCTTATCGCCATCTGGTCTTCACAGCTTCCAAAGCCTGAAAGCCAGAGTTTCTTTTTAAAATGATATCATCATGGAAGGAAGCGTTCAGTAGAGTGGTGCCTGCAGAAGTGGGCACAGCCAGGGCCCGCTCCCTTCTTCCGCGAGGTCACTGCAGTTTGCTGGCCTTTCATGACTGGAACCATTTTTGAGGCCCCTCTGCTGCAGTCTGCTTCTTGCCATTGTCCAGCCATGCTTCTGTGTGTGTGAGTGTGCATGTTTAACACTCAGTTACCCTTCTTCCTCCTTCCCTTCTCTCTGCTGTGTGCATTGGGCAGCTTCTCACACTCAGAGACTGTCCCTGGGCACTCCATCCCACACCTGTTGTCGAGCCCTGCACAGTATCAGCACTGTGCTTACATACACGCGAGAGCTTAGGAAGGCTGGGAGGGAGAGTAGGGGGTCTCGGCTCATAGTCCCTGCCCAGCCACATGACCACAACTCAAGGCACCAGATCTCAGCAGCCTTCACTTGTTAATGCCAAAGCCGAAGTCTTTGGCTTGCGAAGCAGGTGCAGGAGACAGCAGCTCCCTGCCTCCCCCACTGAGCTCTCAGGAAAACAAGATGAGCTTCCCCTAACAAAAAGTATGGCAAAGTTTGATGATGCAGGGGTGGGGTGGGTAGGACTAAGTCTTGAGGAGAGGACATACTGTGTGAAGAGGGCCTCCAGGGGAGCCCTGCCAAGGCTATAGTCAGGTAGCTGAAAGCATTGGGCTTCTCAGGGGTCTTGGTCCGCACATTTTGGCCACGGAACCTGGAGGAGGAGGAGCAAGGCAGAGCTTGTGCCAGTCTAGTGTCTGAGCTGTGTGGTTGGGTGGCACAGATCTGCCCGCCATCCTCCTAGCATGTGTCACCCTGTTGTCCAGATGACTGCTGCACTGATATTCTGATAAAGAAGCAAGTTGTTTCAGGGCCCACACTTTCAAATTTCCCTAAACCTGCTTCCCTGGTTACCCATCTGGAGCTACAAGGAACCCAGGTCCCCCAGAGCACTGCTGTGAGGACTGCGCTCAGTACAGGTCAAGTTCTTGGCCAGGAGCCCTGCCAGACAGCAGTGACCTTGTTGTCCTCCATCAGAGCACTGCTCTTTCTCAGTTGGGGTCTGTGGTATCCTTATCCCCACATGCCCTGACGCCCAAGGCCTAGGATTTGTGGAAGCCATTGCAAAGTGATAGCTACACCCTCCCTGTAGAACACCCAGCCCTGACCCCAATGATCTCTGCACCCAGAGCCCATCCCAGGAGGCAGGAGTTGGAGCTATCTGCCCGCCAGTCACTTTGCCAGCTGCACTCTGCCACATCCAGGAGCAGCCAGCTTGTATTAAGCACCACGAACAGGCCCATGACAGCAGCCATCGATCTGCTCGATCGTATTAACCCTGCCCACCCTCGGCAGCTCCTCTGCGTTCATGATCACTTGCAATGGAATTCCTGTGGATGAACGGAAGGGAGTTCACATTTGGAGTAAATGAGTTTGCGGTGATGAATACTTTCCCAACAAACAACTCGGGGATGCATGACTGGTCACTTCTCCAAGCAGGCTGCCCTATGCCAGTGACATTCAATTGGATTTCCAAATGAATTCTCCTGGATGCTTTCTGGGAAATTTACTTCAGTGATGTCATTAGTGATGGGCCATAGACTGTGGCTTCGTACTAGCTAAAAGGTCTTTAAATGAATCCCAGTTTCTGGTCAGGGTTCCGGGCAAGAGGCAAGAGGAATAGACGAAGACGGACCGATGTGTTCTATGAGCTTTTGAAACATTGAGCCACTGAGAAGGGCCCAACATGCATGCCGCAGTAAGCCTCCTGGTATTTCATCCCACATTGGCATAGATTATGTAACCTGTGTCAGACAAAATATTAAGGAAAAAAATCCAGGAAGACAAAATCGAATATGCTTTTTGCTTCCAAAAAAAAAATCTAATAATTAGGCTGGGATTGACACAAATTAGAATGCTGCCAAAAAAATTACTGAAAACAGTGACTCATTTTGTATTTCAATTAACAGTTTCTCAGTTTCCCTCATAAACAGTGAAGCTGACAAAAATTAATGATCTCAGAGGGGATAAAATATTTTCCTTCCGAAGTAAACAAAACATCTTGATCTGAAACAATAGCGTGCATCCACAGAGTGGATGGCGGGGACAGGATCTCTCCTGGCTGAGTAGTTTCCACTCAGTCTTTGTCTCTAAAGGCACCAGCCGTCAGGACAGAGCGACTCTTTTTCTGTCCTTTTCTGCCCAGACACACCTTCCCCTGCTGGTCCACAGTGATGCTGACTGCTCTCTGACACCTGAGAGGCACGCTGCAAGCAGAAAACCTTGATTGGAGTATTGGTGTACTGATTGCACTTTTGATTTGGGGTTTGAAAAATAGCCTTGGAGAGAAGTACTCGAATGGATCAGCACATTGAAAATTCTTACAACTTGGCAAGAGTGGCGACATGGAAAACGGCAATGATTTAAGCACGTCATTGGATTCGCCCAATGCCAGTAGGTAAATAGTTGCCACAAATATTCCCTCTGTGTGTGAACTCAGCCCGTCCTGGGGGTAGTGAAACCTCCAAAGATGCAACCCACAGGCCTAGCGGAACCCACCAATTCCGTAGGAGACTGAGAGAGCTCAGTTTTCTCCAGTGAAAGTCAGGGATCCCACACCTTTTAAAACGCCCCTTGACAATCACTTAAGAACATCATCTCTATTTACTGCTTTCCCGACCTCCTGGGCTATCTTCCCCACTGAGGTGAGTTAATCCCATTAACAAGCCAGACCACCTGCTGGGACCAGTCAGCAGGGGGCTTTCTGCTTCAGGCTGCTGTCTACCCTGGCGCTTACACACCCACCTAACTCAGGCTGGCTTCAAAGTCCACCTTCTTTCCTGGGTCCAAGCAACACTTGGAGAGGCTTCCGATATGGGCTCCCAAAGAGGAATTTCTGATCTTCTCCAAGTCTCCCACATCGTGCCTGTGGTGTGTTTATGGTGCTAGCTTCTTATTTTATCCTTTAGTGTTTTAGTGCATTAGCAAGATTCTTTTCATTTTGGGGTGTGTCATGAAGGACTCTTTTTGGGGGGCTAAAAGTGTATCAGACATGCCTTTCTTTCTTTCTTTTTTAAAAAAATGACACCCTACGAGATTTCCTCAGGAAACAAACACATGATCAAAACATCAATTAAGACTCCAACTGTACGTACAACAACCACAGAAATGGAAACAGAACTAACTTTAGGCTGTTGTACACAGCCTTGTCATTACTCTGCGGATAACACTCCTTAAGTGTGGAAACTCCATGCCCTGCAGGACCACAGTAATAGTTATTTTGTATATCCTTATAAGGCCACCCCTGGTTTTGCCAGCTACCTGTTCTCCTGCTAAAAAACTTGCACCTCACTGCTCAGAACTTTCCCCGCTACAGTGTCTGCCTCTACAGGTAGGGATAGTACCGATGGTCTTCAATGCATTTTCAAGAGGGTTTTGTGTCCAATGTCAGAGCCTAGGTGTGTTCTGTTTCTTAGGAGGCTAAAGGTGCTGCTTTGCTTAAAGCAGACCTGTCAGAGGGAGATCTGCAAAGGCACACGTAGGCCTTAGAGCTTATCTCTGCAGGGGGTTTCTTTTTTTAATCCTAAATTCTTCTATCTGTGCTACCTGTCTCAGTTTTTTTCAGTCCTAAATATGAATGTTTTTAGAGAGAATTGGATCTGTAGATTCATTCTCCCACTTCTCAAAAAATTCCAGAGCTAAGGCAAGGCTCCCCTGTAATTAAAGAGTGGATGTTAAAATGCCTGAGGGGAGGGAGCTGGGGAGATAAGCCACACACAGAAGGAGCCAGGGGCTGCTCTTTGATCTGCACTGCCTACCTAGGTGGGCTGACACTGGTTGCCCAGCCTGCAAACAGAAGTTAAAAAACCAGCAGTCTTCTTTATGTCAGAGTAATAATGTTTGCAATTTACTCTGAAATGCACGAAAACAGAGACGAGTTAATGGACGGTTAGATGGATACATTTAAACAAAGCAAGAACAGCAAACTATTAGCAGGGGACTCTAAGTGGTAGATGAAGGAGGTGTTCACTGCCAGATTCTTTC